TAATATTCGGTTGGTTGCTCATAAACCGCCTATCAATATCTTTAATCAGATCTTCAATCAGATATCTTTGATTATTTTATCAGCTACTGGACATTTGACCCAATAATAAAATAAGCGTTGGCCCAATTGTGGCCCAACATTAATATAACTGTTTGCCCTGGTTAGCCATAGTGGTGACCAAACGTGCTAAGTGGATGACCGTTCGGTCTCTACTAGGTACAATACATATGCCCTCCACGTCCGAGTTAAGCGTTCGACTTTAGCCATGATTAACTATAGGACTTGTGAGTTTGAGGAAGGCTGGATCAAATATGACCTTCCCCAAATACTGTGATCACTGTCAAAGAACAAATCACACCTCTAACAATTGTTGGATCAAATATGGCCTTCCCCAAGGTTATAAACCCACCATCAAACAAAATTCTGCTCCCTCCAATCCCTCTGCCAACCTGACTGATGTTGTTTCACACACCTCCAATGACTCCTCTGATGACAAAACCCAAGTTTCATTTCACGGAAACAGAATGAAGTTATTCTTGGCTTGTTGAAATAATCTCAACCTTCTACTCCTATCATGGCCAACATCAATCAATGCACTCCACAATCATTAGGTTCTTCTTCTACACCCAATTTTTCTTCTTGGATTATAGATAGTGGAGCTACTGGTCATATATGTTTTTCCAAATTTCTTTTTAATTCTTTATAGCCTATCACTCCTATTTATATACATTTACCAAATTAAAGTTTTGTTACTGCTAAATTCTCAGGGACTGTCACTTTAGACAATTTGGTTTTGCACAATACTCTATTTGTTCCTAATTTATCTGTTCATCTTATTTCTATTTCTAAACTGTTACATTCCAATAATTGTTTCTTTATTTTTCATCAAAATAGTTGTCTCATTGTGCATATAGATACTTACCAGATGATTGGAGTAGCTAAAAAAATACCAATGACTCTTTTATCTCCTTAGTAATAATACCATTAGTATTTTAGAATTTAATCCTTTCATTCTGTTTTTAATAATAGCTCTAGTGATTCTTGTAATTTGTGGCACGTGAAACTTGGTCATCCTTCAAATAAAATTTTTTGGACATTAGCTTCTCAATATTATGATATTTCTTTTCAATCTATTGATGCTTGTGCTTTTGCTAAACAAAAACGTCTTCAATTTTCTGCTAGCAAAACTAAATCTCCACGTTTCTTTCATCTCATTCATGTTGATATTTGGGGCCTATTTCTACTACTTCCATTGATGGATATAAATATTTTTTTACCATTGTTGATGACTATAGTTGTTTCACATGGATTCTTCTTTTGAAACACAAATCTAACATCAAATCTTTACTTCAAAACTTCATTCTTTTAACTGAAAACCAATTTTCTTGTAAACTTAAAATAATAAGATCTGACAATAGAAAAAAATTTCTTCTTAATGATTTTTATACTACTAAAGGAATCTTTCATGAAACTACTTGTGTTGCTACTCCCCAACAAAACGACAGTGTTGAAAGGAAACATCAACACATTCTTAATGTTTGTCAATCTCTTCTTTTCCAATCCAAAGTTCCAAACAAGTTTTGGTCATATGCTACAAAACTTGTTATTCATATTATTAATAGATTGTCAACACCTTTTCTTCAAAATAAATCTCCTTATGAAATTTGACTTCAAGCATTCAACCATCCGGCCCCGGCCATGCGATCTCGGCCACCTGCCCTCAATCATTCAGCCTAAACTTGGCCTCAGCTTTTCGGCCTCCCAAGGCCCTAATCGTTCGTCCCTAATTGCTCGAACGTCCATGGTCTCACAAGTACTTTGTCAAATTTGACATCAAGCATTCAAGCATTCAGCCTCACAACTATTCGGCTTCAAGGGAATCCCACCCGGCATCACCGAAGGTCGGCGATTGTGGATTTTCAACAAAGGAATTTCAGCCGGTCTAATTAAATGATCAGTAGTGTATTCAGCTCAGCCGACAAAGGCAAGACCCGTTCTTCCAAACACCCATCGTGATAAAAAAACAAAGAAGACATAAAAGAGCCAACAGGAGATCCCATCCGCATCAGGAAGGTCATGAACAAAACCCCTTTGCATAATAAAATCATGCTCGGGCTTGGGCGACTTAATGTACCGGATGGTCCTCCAAGCCCCGTGAAACGAACGGCTCTCCCAAGGCCGACTCTCCTAAGGCCGACATACCGCATGGTCCTCTCAACGTCGTATACCAAACGACTCTTCTCAAGCTGACCATTCAGGTTGACCATCCATCCTAGACCATCCAGGTCGAACGACCCTTCCTAGGTCGACCAACCACCAGGCTGACCATCTAGGTTGACCAACCACCAGGCCGACCAACCATCCAATCCGACCGCCCAGTTCGTCCACTGTCCTCCCAAGACGTCCTCCCATGGTCATCCACCTAGGCCATGCCCACTAATAATGACTCATTAAGCCCTTAATGCAGATTAAGGTGTGATTGGGGAGTCATTAGGCAAACGAAAGGTAAAAGCCCATCACAAACTAGTATAAATAAAGGTCTCAGGTATGACTTTACGACCACAATACACAATATACATGCATTACTTGCTCTCCCAACCACTCGCTTACATTACTAACTTGAGCGTCAGAGTAACTTTGATAGGTTCTCACCCACACGACTTGGACAAGGAGGAGGAAGGACAACCACTTGGGAGCCCGTCCGGCCTACGTGCCAACTGGAGGACTATTAGGTAGCTCGTTCGGTCTTCAATCTGGAGTGCCTTGGGCAATGTTCATCTGGTCTTCAACCTTGTGCAACGTTTGTCCGACCGATCTTCAATACAATCAGGAGTGCTTAGGCCCAACCGGTCTTCAAGATTCGCTCAGTCTTCAAGCCCGCCTAGTCTTCAAGGTCAGTCCAACCTTTAAAGTCCATCCGGTTTTAAAGACATAATAGAGTGTTTTGAGTAAGGGACCTCCAAACCCTACCGAAATACATAGTGAATAAAAATACTTAAGACTGAGGTACATCTTGTCGGCTCTAAAAATAAAAATTATGTTTTTGTGATTTTTTTTTCTAGTTTTTATTTTTATTTTTGAAAGAAATTAAATATTTTAAAATTCACATCTATTTTATTGTATTTAGATAGGCAGGGTAAGATACTAACACCTTTCCTGTAATTATCCAAAAGTCTGATTTTAATATTGCATTTTATCTTTTACAATTTTTTTATAATAAATTATGGCAACAATTTTTTAATAATACACATAATTAAAATAAGGTATTATGTAGGGACTATAAAACAAATTGAGGTATATTGTGTATGGTATAGGAAACAAAGAATAACTTAATGTGTATTATTAATCAATACTTCACATAATGTATATTTAAAAAAGTGTTTATTTATATTTTGTTTTAACTATTATGTTAATTCTTTAAGGTGGAAATAATTTTAGATTTTCCGAATACATTTATTTCAGTTGTTGTGTTTGTCATTGTCTAGTTTACATATTACCAGTAGAATGGAAATGAATGAGTGATTTGAAGTGCAGCTTGGGTTGGGTGAAGGACTCATCAATGAAATGAAATGCGTAGTAATGATTTTTCGAACCAACCCGTTTCAACCTTCAATCTTACTCAACATGTTTTGATTTTTCGTCAATGTGAATGTAATGTGTTTCGTTAATATGAACAATTCACTATAGTACACTTTTAGATGTTCTAATTTTTTTAAAAGTGAACTATAAAATAGTTCATTTCAATTTTTATTATAAATAATTTAGTATTTTTAGTATAATATGTTTTGTCATATTAATTTTACCCACCCTAGTAAGGAGCTTTGAAATTGAGTAGGTGAACATCTCTTTCCTTCATCACTACTCATCAACCAATAACGTTGTGGAGTGTTCCCCACAACTAATAAATATTCATCATACATTTGTGAACACTTATTATGCACCCGTTAAATACAGAATATTTGGTTAAACATGTTAGAAAACATCTTTCGAATTGAATTCATTCTCGTTTTCTCTTTGTACCTCTAATTCTTAATGTTATGAAATATCTAATAATTTGTCTTTGATTAAATGTTGTTTTATATAACATTATAATATAATATTTAATTATTATCTGTTAAACTATGGTTGGATTTGTCAATTGTGAAATAGTTCTTACCGATTGGAGAAATATGAGCATTTCAATATTCCAGTTAAAATATGTGCATTTCTAGTTTAAATTGACCCCCCACTGAAGAAAATAGTTTTCCACCTTTCTAGTTTATCCTTTTTGTTATGTGATAACACAGCTAATTTATACATAGTTACAGGACCCGGTTTAACATGGTTGAAAGAACTTGATTTGCAATTTCATGTTTACCGTCTATATTGTTTTCCTTTGGAGCATGATTTCTATTATCTTCTCTTCTTTTTATGTTTTACTTTTCTTTTTTCAATGAACTTTTTTTTTTTTTTAATTTTACACAAGCTGTAGTTTTAATTTTTAAGTTATAACAAATTAAAGTTAATTTTTAATAGATATTTTAACTTATCAATTATTTAAAATTAGTAAGTATGAGTCTTTCTATTTTATATATTGTTTAATTTTTTTCTTTTTTATTCAATCGAAAACTTAAATTTACACTTAAATCTCTAACAATTTAAGACATTTTGATAGCACGTAACTTTATTGTTCTTCAACACGAGGGCCTCTGATTTTGACTTACCGGGTTACCAGTCATCCAACAACTTTAACTCAACAAAGTCATCAATATCTCTAAAGATATTCTTGTGTTCAGCCGTGTGATCATTGTGTTTAACCGAGGATATATATTGAAAATTATATGAAATGTTATCTTTGTTTGAGATTACATAATGCAACGAGTATGAGCTACATAATACAAAGATTGAACTTTCAATAAATCTCTCAAATTGTAGTAAAAAACCTGGAATATAAACTTCTGCACATTATCTATTTTTTTGAAAATTAAACGAGTTGAAAATTGAAACACAATTTAATAGAAATGATGGAAACAAAATCACGGCCACTTAATCATTGATGGAAAACAGCTGTAAGTTTGTGTTGATAGGAAGACTTTAAATTTTTTGGTTGACTATTATGGTCTTCGAAAAAAATGACCTTCTGCACTGCATTATTCATTGGATTGTCATTGACTTTCTATTTACTCATTCATTCAGATCACTCATTTCAATTCCACAAATCCACTTTCTACCATGGCTGCCGAAAAAATTGCCGGTGCTCTAGTGTCCACCTTTGTTGAGAGGACTATTGACAATTTGGCTTCTCGTTTTGTAGACATATTTCGTGGAAATAAAAGCCACAAGAAGCAGTTAAGCAACTTGAAGGTGAAGCTCCTAGCCGTTGATGTTGTGGCTGATGATGCAGAACAGAAACAGTTCACAGATCCATGTGTGAGAGATTGGCTTCTCGCAGCCAAAGATGCCGTGTATGATGCAGAGGATCTCCTGGAGGAAATAGACCATGATGCTAAAGAGGTTGGGAATCCCCTCACTTCTTTTATCAGTTTCTTTGAAAATAAATTTGAATCAAGGATGGAAAAACTCATTGAAGACCTAGAAGATCTTGCAACACAAAGTCATCTTCTAGGTTTGGAAAGAGGTCATGATTTTGGGGAGGGATCAAGATCGGGCAGTAAACTAACATCAACATATTTGCCAAACGATAGTGTTATCTATGGCAGAGATGATGACAAAGAATTTGTCTTTAACTGGCTCACATCTGACATTCCCGACAACCTATCTATACTTTCTATAGTGGGAATGGGAGGGGTGGGTAAGACCACTCTTGCCCAACATGTATTCAATGATCCAAGGGTGGATGAGGCTAAATTTGATGTCAGAGCCTGGGTTTGTGTTTCAGTTGAATCTGATGTTTTCAAAGTATCAAGAAAAATTCTTGAGGATGTTACTAGATCACCTGATCATAGTTCAGATACAGATATGGTTCACAGAAGATTGAAAGAAAAATTGACGGGCAAAAAATTTCTTGTTGTTTTGGATGATGTTTGGAACGAAACCCTATCTAATTGGAAAGAGGTGCAAAAACCCCTTCTTCTCGGAGCCCAAGGAAGTAGAATTGTTGTGACTACCCGTAGTAAGGAAGTTGCTTCTACCATGTTTTCAGAAGAACGCTTTCTAAAGCAATTGCAGGAAGATGATAGCTGGGAGTTGTTTGCTAAACATGCATTTCGTGATGATACTCAACCAAATCCAGAATGCAGAGAGATTGGCAAGAAGATTGTTAAAAAATGTAAAGGACTACCTCTTGCCTTGAAAGCAATAGGAAGTCTATTATACAACAAATCATCTGTTTCAGAATGGGACACTGTGTTCCAAAACGAGATATGGGAAATTCCAAAAGATCGTTGTGATATTGTTCCCGCTTTAGCATTGAGCTATGTCCACCTGCCTTCCCATTTGAAGACCTGCTTTGCTTATTGTGCCTTGTTCCGCAAGGATTATGAGTTTAAGAAGGAAGAGTTGACTCAGTTGTGGATGACTGAAAACTTTCAACAGCATAGTAAGACTCCGGATGAAACTTGCCAACAATACTTCAATGATCTATTATCAAGGTCCTTCTTTCAACCCTCAGGTAATGGGAAAGAACTATTTGTCATGCATGACCTTCTAAATGATTTGGCAAGATACATCGCCGGAGACATATTTTTCAGGTGCAAAGATAGTCAAACAAATAATATACAAAAAGTAACTCGGCATTTTTTATTTGAACTTCCTAACTTTGGACGCTTTCATGAATTTGGAACTTTATGCAAAACGGAAAGCTTGCGTACATTTCTACCAACACCAGATAGGAAACTGGATTACTTTCATTGGTTTTGCAGTATGTCGATACATGAATTGTTCTCCGAGTTCATGTTCTTGCGTATTTTATCGCTCTCTCATTGTTCTAACCTTTTAGAGTTACCTGATTCTGTCGGCAATCTTAAACTTCTTCGTTCCTTAGACCTCTCTCATACTGCAATAAGAAAACTACCTGAAAAAATATGTTCACTATCCCACTTGCAAATACTGGAGTTGAACTATTGTACATATTTGGAAGAGTTGCCCATAAATTTGCATTTACTTACTAATTTGTGTAGCCTTGAATTTAGGTTCACTAAAGTGAGAAAAGTGCCACCAGGTTTGGAAAAATTAAAGAATCTTGTAGTAATGATGAATGTCTTTTATGTTGACCATAGCATGGAGTCGGGTATTCAACGGCTAGGAAAGCTTAATAACCTTTCTGAACACCTAGAAATTTGGGGACTGCAGTGCATTAAGAATCCTGAGGATGCATTAGAAGTCGATTTGAAGAATAAAACACACATTGTGAGGCTGACATTGGCATTGGAGAGGACTGGGAACTCTATTGATTCAAAAAAAGAAGAAGACGTAATTGAGAATCTGCAACCTTCCAAAAACTTAAAGGAGTTGTCAATCTTAAACTATGGTGGGAGTAAATTTCCAAACTGGTTACTAGAAGATTCGTTACCAAACCTGGTGTCCTTAGTGTTGCTCAATTGTAAATCTTGCCAACATTTACCTCCGCTTGGTCTTTTGCCATTTCTGAAGAGCCTGTATATTTCAGGGTTTGATGAGACCGTGAGCATTGATGCTTATTTTCATGGAAACAACTCTTCTTCATTTCAATCCCTTAAAAAGTTGGAGTTCTCCGATATGAAGCAATGGGAAAAATGGGAATGCCAAGCTGTGACAGGTGCTTTTCCAAATCTTCAAATTCTTTCTCTGAAGAAATGTCCGAAACTGAAAGGACAGCTGCCAGAGCTACTTGTTCCTTTGAAAACACTAAAAATTACACGTTGCCAACAACTTGAAGCTTTCCCTCCCAGGACTCTAGAATTAGACCTACGTCACTGTGGAAAGTTGCAATTGGATTGGGCTCCAATGGAATGGCCTAGAATGGACGGGCACCACATGACAGCATTTTTCTCTGAAAGTGATGGGTCCCACACTCTTGATGATTTGGAAATTGTAGAGGTAATCAGTGATGGCTCTATCCCTCTAACGACCTTTCCACTAGACTCCTTCCCAACAGTCAAGAGACTTGTTCTCTCTTGGTTACGTAATCTAGAGATGATTTCACAAGATCAAGCTCATCATGATCATCTACTGGATCTGACAATCACAAGATGTCCTAAATTTGAATCGTTGTCTGGAAACATGCGTGTGTTGTCTCTTACATCGCTATGGATAGAAGACTGTCCAAGATTTAAGTCGATCCCTTACGGAGGTTTGCCATCAAATTTGGAGAATCTGACAATCAAAGGGTGCCCTAAGTTTGAATCATTACCCGACTCTGTTGGCAATCTCAAGCTTCTTCGTTCCTTAGACCTCTCTGATACTGCAATAAGAAAACTACCTGAAAATATATGTTCACTATCCCACTTGCAAATACTGGAGTTGAACTATTGTACATATTTGGAGGAGTTGCCCATAAATTTGCATTTACTCACTAATTTGTGTCGCCTTGAATTTAGGTTCACTAAAGTGAGAAAAGTGCCACCAGGTTTGGAAAAGCTAAAAAATCTTAAAGTAATAATGAGTAACTTTAATGTTGACCTTATCATGGAGTCGGGTATTCAACGGCTAGGAAAGCTCAACAACCTTTACGAAGACTTATCAATTGGGGAACTGCATGACATTGAGAATCCTCAGGATGCATTCGAAGCTGATTTGAAGAATAAAACACACATTGAGAGTCTGACATTGGGATGGGAGAGGACTGGGAACTCTATTGATTCAAAAAAAGCAGAGGACGTACTTGAGAATCTGCAACCTTCCAAAACCTTAAAGGAGTTGTCAATCTTTAACCATGGTGAGAATAAATTTCCAAACTGGTTGCAACAAACTTCAATTTGGAATATGGTGTCGTTAGAGTTGGACAAATGTAAATCTTGCCAAAGTTTACCTCCGCTTGGTCTTTTGCCATTCCTCAAGAAGCTGGTGATTTCAGGGTTTGATCAGATAGTGAATGTTGATGCTGATTTTCATGGGAAGAACTCTTCTTCGTTTAAATCTCTTGAAACATTGTATTTCTCCGATATGAGACAATGGGAAAAATGGGAATGTAAAGTTGTGACAGGTGCTTATCCATGTCTACAACATCTTTCTATAAGCTTTTGTCCCAAACTAAAAGGACAATTGCCAGAGCAACTTGTTCCTTTGGAAACACTACACATTACAAACTGCGAACAACTTGAGGCTTTCGCTCCAAGGGCTCTAGATTTAGAACTACGTAACTGTGGAAAGCTACAATTGGATTCGGCCATGAAAAGGCTCGTAATGGGTGGGCACAACACGGAAGCATCCTTGCTGGAAATGGTTGGATCTAACACTCTTGAGCACTTGGACATTTCTTCATCCCTGGAGTCCATGAGTGATGACTGTGTCTTTGTAAGGACCATTTCACTAGATTTCTTTCCAATACTCAGGACCCTTAATCTTAGAGGGTTTGGTAATCTACAGAAGGTTTTACAGGATCACGCTCATTATCATCTCCAGGATCTGACAATCAAAAAATGTCCTAAATTTGAATCATTATCTGGAATCATGCATATGTTGTCTCTCAAATCACTATGGATAGAAGATTGTCCGAGACTTGTGTCGTTTCCTGATGGAGGTTTGCCATCAAATCTAAATGACATGAGACTGAGTAATTGTTCTAGACTTGTTTGCTCACTGAAAGGAGCTTTCGGAGACCGTTCTTCTTTGGAAAGCTTGTGGATTGAAGGAATGGATGCAGAATGTTTTCCTGGTGAAGGCTTGCTTCCACTCTCTCTTACTTCTTTAACAATATGTGATTGTCCAAATCTAGAAAAGTTAGATTATAAAGGTCTTTATCAACTCTCATCTCTCAGAAGACTGACTCTTGTTAGCTGCCCTAACCTCCAATGCTTACCAGAGGAAGGTCTTCCAAGATCAATTTCATATCTTTGTATAGGCGATTGTCCTTTGCTCGAACAGCGTTGCCAGACAGAAGGAGGGGAAGATTGGGAAAAGATTGCTCACATTCAAAATCTGAATATATTGTAATGTTGTTTGTTTTGAATAGTGATGCATTTGGTCGGCTACAATTTATTTAAGATCATGAAATGGCAAATTGTAATATTATTTTAATATTTTGTCCGTTCAACGCGGTAGCTTAGTTGTGGTTTGTCGGCGTCGTCTTGTCGTTGTGTGATCGTTGTTGCTTTGGTCTCACGTGTTCGTTGTTAACGGTTTCTTTTGTTGGTGGAGGAGTGGACTGATCTTCCTCCTTGTCGCAGGTGTAGGGATCTTTGACGCTCTCTGCAGTTTGATAAAATACAATACTGCACCTATTTGCATCAAGTATAATGCAAATTTTTAAAGAATATAAAAAAATTTAAAAATAAAAAATGTAATATAAGTTTTAGAATATTGTACAAAAGTTTAAGATATAAAGGAAAAAAAAAATAAAAGATAAAAATTTAGAATATTTCACCTAAATTGTAGTTAACATTTTTAAGAATAATTTATAAATCTATAAATGTTTATGTATTTTATTATTTGATGTAAGACAACATTTATTACAACTATGACAATTTTCTTTTTATTATTATTTTCACATTTTATTATTTTTACATTTTTTTATTTTATCAAGGTTTAATCATTCAAGAGGTCCCTATTTTCGAGGAGAATCTCAATTTTGTCCGGTTCTTTTTTGATTTCTCAATTGGGTCCTAATTTTGTGAAAATTGCAACAATTGGATCCCTACCGTTAAATTGGACTCAACGACGTTAATTTATAGTGACATAGCCCGTTGATGTGGAATTTTATTTTATTTATTAAACATTCAACTGAACCACGTTATTACCCTTATTAACACATCATCATCTTCCACCTCCAAAAACCCTAACATTTCCCCTAATCCATCATCGGAGCACCAGCCACCTTAACGCCAACTCCAATCCTGCAAAGTCGAAACCGTGACCACCTGGTCTCCATGAACGCGGAACCCTCGCGCCTCGACATTGACGACCTCACCGGTACCGAAGCGAACCCTCTCTCCGTTGAGGACGCCGCCTCCCCTGTCGTCACCGTCTCTGACGACACCCTCTTCATCGACGTTGACCCTGACCACTCGTTCCAAGCCTAAAGCTCTTCTTGATCAATTTCCAATCGAGGCTGGATGTGGATGTGGAGCTACCCATGCTATCGAAATCGTTGTGGATGTGGATGTGGATGAACTGGACGGTGAGGAATTCTCGAACGGAACAGGTATTCGGAGGGAGGGAGCGAGGAAGACATTGTAGCCGCTCCAGATGAAGGAGGCGAGGTCGGCGGCGAAGGCCTTGCTTGATTTGGGACGGCCGTGAACAGCGGCGAGGGGCATTGTGTACGCTTCTAACACTTGCAAGTTTGCATCTTTATTTTCTTATTGATGTTATGGTTCTTTTTTGTGTATGTGTGTGTATTGGGTTTTTGGGGAAAAATTTATGTTTTGTATCAGAAGAGGGATGATATTGGATGTTTGGTGCCTATAAGCTGCTTGACGTATATGGTAAGTATCCTTTTGGGTTATCTTGAAAATGTATCATTGAACTGATGATTGTTATATAGGGTCATGGATATCGTGTTTGGGAGGATGAGATTAAATTGCTTGATGGAAAAGGCATTGTTCTTACCCAGCGAAGCAGGCAAAGGAGTCTTCATGATTTTTGGAAGGAATGCCAAAATGATGAAACTGATGATGAGCTGGGAAGTGAACTCAGTGAAAGGATGAAAGTTACAGACTATTCTGAGGATCCCTTGGTTGTGCCAGACAAAGAAGATGGTGGTGCAGCATTAACTACAGCAGATTCGAGTCGCAATGGTTTTCCAGATTTCATGATTGATGGTGATGGTGTGTTAGAAGAGATGGGTGATTTGTTATCCATTTCTTTGTTATTAAAAAAATACAAATATCCACGTCAATTAAAAAGTCAGTTCAGCATGCCACGTCAATCATATACTAACACCGTTAGGTTCAATTTAACGGCAAGGACCAAATTGTTGCAATTTTCATAAAAATAGGATCCAATTGAGACGCCGAAAAAGAACAGGACCAAATTGAGATTCTCACCGAAAAAAAAGGACCTCTTGAATGATTAAACCTAACAACTATTTCTTTTGGGAATCCAAGTGTGAGTCTAAGTCTTATGTTGGATAGAAAGTTTTGGATAGAGAGTAGTGTCAATCCTTTATATGGTTGGACTCATATCTCATTGGTATTGTGTCTCCCGAACAAAGATTGAAAAGACATGAAGAAGACTCGGTTGAAAATGCCTTTCAATCAAAACTAAAATTATTGTCTCACAATAAGGAATATGAAGGAAATAAAAGTAGAGGGAAAATTTCTATAAATAAAAAAAATTCTAGAAGTTTCTCTATGACTAGTCAAGGAAAATATTCTCCATATGACATCTGTAGAGAAGTATTGTCGTTATAAAAATAAGCATAAAGCAAACTTTACTGAAGAACATAATAAGGAGAAACTCTTATTCTATGCTAGTCAAGAATCTCCTAATGGAGAAGGAAGTTAATACTTGGATAGTGGATGCAACAATCACATGACAAAAAATTAAAGCATCTTCAAAGACATTGTTAAATCTGTCAAAGTTTGAGTGTGGGTACAACATAGGAAGGAAAGATTTCCTTCCAAAAGGAAATCTAAGCTCCTACCTAAAAGATGGACTTTTTCAAGTTCTTAAAAAAATTAATGATAATGCTTACATTATACATCTACCTAATGATTATGGAGAAAGTTCTAATTTAAAAATTAATGATTTGACTCCATTTGATGTAGGTACTAATTTGGGGATAAATTCGCTTCAAGGAGGGAATAATAGAGGAATGTCCCTTGATTGTTTAGAAGACGACTTGAGGAATAGCCTTTGCATATCAAAGGACCTAAGAGAAGGTCAAGGAGAAAACAATTAGAACAATAAATCTCCTTTAGCCTCATGATGCTCCATGAAGATTGAAATTTAAGAGACATGAAGATCATGGCTTGAAGCATAGTTATAAAATAATTTAGGAAATTAAAAATATTTGCAATTTTCTTTTAATGGAAAATAATTGGTTTCTATTTATTTTTTTTAATTTTTGAATTATTTTTGGGCTTAATGTATTTTGGGCTTTCTTTTGGAGTTTCTTAGGTGTCTTAAAATTTTGTGCTTGTATACAGGGATACAAAATACATATGTAGACACTTTTGAATCATAATATATGCATTTGCATTTTTTAGAGAGGATTCTTTGGTTCTTGGATTAAAACTCTGATTCTTATAAAAGATTAATATCTTTGTGGCGAATCTTCACTTGACTTATCAATCTGCTAGATTGTCGTATCCCCATCTTTGTCTTGTTCCGCATTATTCTTTGGTTTATTTTTGTTGTACTGATGAGTCAATATTTTCTCAACTACACTTAGTTTATTGTACTAGAATTAATCAGGAATTGTGCTTAAATGTCCAATATTTTTCTATTTTTGCTAATTATGCTTAATTCGATCAGAAATTCTTATTTTGATTAATTTTAATTATCTGAGATTAATTATTTACATTATTGAGTGCAGGGAAAATTTTGGAAATGTTTTGGGACTTCAAGATAAATGTGATATAAACCACACGGCCATTCACGGTGCAGCAAGAATTACACAATGCACATAAAGTGTGAATTTTAGAATAGAGGGAACCACATGTAGTGCAGCTCACGGTTTTACAGCTCTCTTGTAAGATAAATGGGCTGCCACATCTTCTTAATTGTCACGTAAAAGAGTGCTTGGAGAGCCCCCTCATGGCTTTAGCACGTTAGCAATTAATTGAAGGAAGAAAAGGAAGTCATCATCCAAGAGTGGAGCTCACGGTTATTGACCCATAGGAAAACTCATTTTGGTAAGCAAATACCAAAGCATACAATGGAGATGGAGGGGGACCACCATGGTGAAAATTCACGTCCAAAAACCCCAAAGTGCAAGAGCTGAATTTGTTGAAGACAAGCATTATATGCTTTGAATAGAATGTGGGAGCCGCGCCACCTAGGACCATTGGAGAATTTCTCTTTGGTTTAAGAATGAAGTAAGGCCGTGAATGGAGGGACCAGATATTGCAAGTAAGTTCACGGGTTTGCACAATTGGAAAAGCATATAAACATATGGAGAAGAAGCACATAATGGAGGGGACCACGTTTTGAAAGCTCATGACCAAAAAGAAAACATCACTCGGCAATTTACATGAAATAGGAATTTTCTTCCTTTAAGACACATCACACGGCCCACATAGAAAGAGATGGCATTCACTTTGGCTTCATGCAGAATATTGATTACTCTGGGTGTTTTTCCACTCAAAGCAACTCCAGCACTTCACGCTCCAGCTCTTTGAAGTCCAGCAGCTCCATGCACGCAGACCACCATCAAGCACTCCATTACTCCTCACGCAACAGCTGGTTCAGTTTGGAGAAGTGGAAGAGGAGAAGCATGTAGCAGAGGTATCACGGCTTGTGTCCAGCACCTTGCAGTAACGTCCAACACTCCTTCACATCCAGTGGGAGATTCATTGGCTGGAAGAAAAGCACACAAGGAGCAACACTTGGAGGAGAAGAAGTCTCGGCCCTTGAGCAGTAGCCACCACCGAGAAGATGTCTTCACTTTTCTCCATTGGTTCACGCTTGGAAGAATGAAGGAGATGGAGTTGAACGTGTGAAAGAAGAGGAACGTATGGAGAAGCTAGGAAGGGAACCCACGGCTGCAAAACCATTTCCATGAGGAAGAAGTGTGTCTACGGGAACAATTTGAAGAAGAAGACAAACAATGGAGGGCCCACCTATTTCTTTGGCACCTTTAAGAGTTGAAGAAAGTCTCCAACCTACGAGGGAGACAAAAACAAACGTGAAAGTGGGAAGGAATTCAGGCTGTCAATTGAGAACAAGACAAAACAACTATGCTGAATGAGAGAGAGGATCCCACGGGAGTTGGTCAGAGAATTGGTTATAAAAGAGCAGCAGGCAGTCAGTGAAGATTCATTAGAGTTTTAGGAGTAGGAATTAGGAGAGAGTTTACGTTCTGCTTTCATTTTTCCACCTCCCCTTTGGGGAGGTTTTGGATTT